TGTCGGGCATCTATTCCTATCTCAGCTGCTGTGAGAAAATGAATGTGTCTTTTTATCTCTGCATGCCTCTTTCATTCCTTCAGTCCCTCTTGTGTGTTTAGAGTGCATGTGTTTCTGAGCTGGAGTCTTTTCTCTTTGGAGAGGTGTGTATGCACYGTGTAAAATAATGGAGTGGCAATTCCGTCAGGTCCTCCAGGGACTGCTATAAAATGAACCTGAAATAACTGCACACTTTTTTATAAATCATTAGTGTATGAACTTCACTGTATAAGGCCATGTRCAAGCAGAGGTTGATATCCCAGAGATCTAACTGTAGTATTGAAGACCCAGGACACCCAAGAGAGGTTATACAAACAGTGGGTTTTTCCCATTGCATCTGAAAGATTCATGRAATAGCTGTCAAGTTTGCTTGAAAGCCAAGACAACTGGGAAGCTATTGAGAGGGCTCCATAACAAACATGCATTCTCTCCAAGGCTCAGGTTTGACTTCTTTTGGCAATTGAATGCTATTTGGGGTATAAAAAGAAAATAAAGAACATGTAGGGAAGAGTGTAATGCCAAATGTTTTGCAATGTAAAATTACTCTGAAGTTACTCTGTGCTTCCCCCTTGAAGATATTTGTGTTATATGGAAACCACCTTTATAATCATTCTGATAATCATTTGCTGTTTTCCAGCATTTGTTTGCACAAATGACAATAATTGGAGTGCTTAAGTATCTGGCAATAGCGGTTAATTCTAATTATGACTTATGACAGCAGTGCTTCTGAAGGCAGTAGTGCCTGACAGAGAGTGATGAGAAGCAGTGGTCATCATTGACATGCTCCTCACTCGTTTTGTGGTTCATGCATCCTTTAAAATCAATAGCAGCATCTCATCTTCTTAAGCTGGCTATAAAACCTTGTGTCAGACAGTTTATTAATGTGTGAAAAAWTGATGTTTGATATGAACACATTGTAAGGCAAGTCAATATCTTATCATCAGCTAATTAATATTCACATTGAGCATATCATGCTGAGATCAGAAGCCAGAAGGGCTGGACTGGTTTTCAGCATTCCTCAATGTGTGTGTATTTTCATCAAGATACTCTTGTACAGCTGATCACTAAAAATACATTGTCAGTATGAATTACTAAAGCAGATATTTTTACCTGCCTTATGTAGTGCATCAAACCACATAGGAAAGAGCTGGTAGGCAGAGAATCATGAAATGAGTTCAAGACATGAATTAACTTGAATTGAAGAATTTGCTTACTTTGTGTTAATTCTAACAGATGTCTGAAAGAGCCATGGCCCCATGGGTTATAGTGCCACAGAATGGCTGATCTTGGCAGGCTCTCCTTGAGCTCACCTAGTCCAGCTCTGCTGCTCAAGCAGGGTCAGCTGCAGCAGGTTGATGAGGTCCATTTTCAGTGAGGTTTTGAATGTCTCAAATGGTGGAGACTTTGCAGCCTCTCTGGACAGCTTGTCCCAGTGTTTGACCCTGGGGGATCACCAGTGGCATGAGGTAGCTGCTGATGCAGTTAACAACTGCATTAAAGTAGGTAACTAAATTGCTAAAGAGGCTTTTCTATCACACCTTGTAATAGTACTGTGAATTATCTTTGTATTATTTTACTGAAGCTGTAAATGATTAATTTTTTTCAGTTTTTAATTTCCAGTATCAAGTAATAAATACAGCATTTTTGGTGGCAGTTTTTAGCCTTCCCTGTTTTCATGCCACARCATCTATTCTATCCAGCTAGAAGCAGTTTCTTGCTGATTTCCTTTTTGGCCAGCAGTGTTCCTCATGTGACTTGCATCACTGTAAATGTGAACAGACTGAAAAAGGACAATTAAAGAGATTTGCTTGGCAAACATCCCCATTTTTCTTTATGGCTGCTCTACAAACACAGGGAAAAAAAAACAGAGTGCATAAAATATGACAGTGTAGCACCTAGCCCATCTCCTGTTTTTTCTGTTGAAGTACTGATTCCACCTGGATATCATATTTAGATATGTGGTACATACCTACATAACGCCTCCCAGCTGAGGGGTTTTAGGTACTTAATTAAAGCTTACAGACTTTTGTAAGGCTGTGTACTGTCCTCTTTCTGGGTAAATGATTTATAGGTCTGTGAGCCATGGTACTCATCTGTTTTACTCAGCTCCTTGCATGTATAGCTGGTAAAAATAAGCCTCTGTTTGTTACTGACCGGTGTTCCTGAGACAAATATTGCATAACAACAACAACAAAACAACAAAAAATGGTGCTCACAGTGCTGCTTTTTCTGTTGTATTTTTAGCTAAGGGGTTGTAGGTTCCCATGGACTTTACTGAGGTGACCCAACATGACTGTAGTCTGCAGGGTCCTGCAGAACTTCCCTCTTCATGGTCACCTGCAAGGGTTGGTCAGCCCTGGATGCATTCACTGCTGGAAGGTCACTGCTCRGTGTCTCACAGCAGCCTGGTGACCTCTGGCAGCAGAAATGTCTGCAGACAGCTGACATCAGCATGGAGGAGTGTCAAATTTGAAGCAGGAGATTTCCTTGAMATGGAAATTGCTTGCAGTCATATCTGCACCCCAGGGTGCTTCATGTCCAGAGGTTTACATGAGGCCCTCAGCTGTAAACTGATCCTATGCTTGAACATGGATTTTCACTTTTGTTTCTAACAGCATAGAATAAAACTGCTTTCTTAGGGTATTTTCCTTAGTCTCTCAAGGTGTTTGCAGGTCACTGGCTTCAATGCCAGCCAACAACAGGAAGAAGACAGCACAGCCTGTTTGAGAACCTTTTGATATGCTCTGTACTCACACAGCCTGATTTTCTTGCGCAGTAATTGCTTCATGTCAAAGTCTGTAATTTTCTGATTTATAAAATCAATTTAGAGAAAAAAATCTTTTCCTGTGTTTCAGAGAGTTCAACATGACAAAGCAAAGGGTGTTTGTTCTTGTTCCATTCACAATGATAAAGTGCTGTTCCCAAAGTCCATAGCTACTCTGATTAGTGAATTTTCTACAACAAATTCTGGGCAATTTTTGTCTTGACTCTTACAGAAGTGTTCAAAAACATTAATGGGTTTGCCTCCATGGCTTAACTTGTGGTGTGTCTGTAGTGCAGAAGTCCATCAGTTAAAGAATTTGTCATTGTTCAGTCCTTTCATGAGTGCATATATTCAAAAGGATTCAGAAGAAAATTTTAAAAGTGAATGTGAGTTGACATGAATTTTATGCTATAATTGTTGGAGCATAATTCAGCACCTGTAACCTACCCAGCGACTTCTGTGGGATCGCAATGCTTTAAGTCAGGAGCAAACAGGGYATTTAAGAACAAGAAGAGCCTCTTAAAATAAAATTAATCTCAATACTATGTAACCTTATGCTATGGCATTTGGTCTTTGCTTGTCATCTCTCTTATGAAGGGATCTTCACCTTGGATGGAATTAAAATGCATTAACTTTCTATTCCTTCTGTCTAAAAATAGTGAAGTGAGCCATCCAAGTCAGTCCCCACCAGAGCAATAGAAACTTGCCTGTTACCCACAGGGAGAGCTGGACTCTGCTCTGAATGCCTGTAYGAGTGATCAAAAGATATGTATTATAGGAATGTACTGTTGTGTTGTGGGAAATTTGCTTTTATTCTCTTCAAAGGCTTCAGGCATCTCAGGAAAACCAAGAAAAATCATAGCAGTAAGTCTTACAAGCACACATGAGTTTATCAAAGCCCTCATCATCTGATACTGATTTCCACGGCATGTAAATAAATATATGAATAATTTATGTACTTCGTCTTTATAATCAAACAATCCTGGGGTTTTTCCTTCTTGCTTGGCATGRTAGGAGTATCCTCAGTCTGTGTTTCTGCCTGCAGCCCATAGCTCTTGTGCATGCACACCAGTGCATGTTCTCTGGGTTTGTTGACCAAGAAAGGAGTGGGTCTTGTGCCAAATGGGTCCTTCCCTGGCAGCTGTGCACCTTCCAGCCTGGTCAGGGAGCAGGAAAAGAAATCAATGCAAAGGATTTGCCAGCAGTGAATGAGTGTGGTGGGGGAAAATTCCACATTTACTTATTTTCAAAATTTGACCTGGATTGTGTTACTTGTGGAATGCCTGTTGGTATTGCAACAAAGCTGAATGATAAAATGGGAGTAGAAGCAGAGATAAAGAACTGGGAAAGAAGGAAATTCAGGGGAACAGGGGATTAGCGAGGGTTAGCAGACACTGGAGCAGAGAATAGCCAGGGTTGCAATCCTCTGCCAGCATCTCTACTGCAACTCCCAGTCGGGTGGCAGCTTCTCCAGCCCAGTCTGTCTTTGCTCTGCCTTGAGTGATGCCTTGCAAGCATTATTTGTGCTCCCTGAGCCCAGTTTGGGGAAAAGTAGTTCTTTCYTTGTCCATGTGGTCCCAGAGGGAATCAGTTGCTCCTGAATGAGAAGAAGTGTGATTTCACTCAAACTTGCATCTGCTCCAACTGATGAGGATTCTTGATTGCGAGAGTAATGCAGTTCTGGGGCATCTGGGCTGCCCCAGGTTATGTGGAAAATTGGTCTGAAAAAGCAAATCCTTGTGAAGTGCAGAGGCTCAAAAGTGTAAGCAAATTCCAAGGTGTTCCCCAGCACAAATAACAGCAACAAAGGGATTCATAACTCAGTTGTAACTCCTCACTGGAGAACGGGGGAAGCGCTGCTCTGGGGTTTGCCRTAGGGATTTTCCTGCTTGAACTCTGGCAGTTTCAGAAGAAAATGGATGCACACTGTTGCTGAGGAAACGAGCCTCCCAGGGGAAGGCTGGCTTTTCCCCAGTGTGATTTTTTGCTGCCTCATGCTCACTTGAGTCAATTAACCTAAAACCTACAAACTGCRCATGCCATGGCTCTGTACAGTTACTACAGTTCAAATATATCATGAATTTTATACAGTTGCATGTGGTTTTAATCATAAACAGTCCAGGAACAGATTCAAGTTTATATTCCTCTTTAAATATTTGTATTCCTATAATGGAACTTTGCCCATTTTACTCTGTAGGTGCCAGCTTGCATGATGACATCAATAAATACTTCTGGTTTCATCATTCTCAAGGGGACACGATGACAGTTCAGGATCCAAACCAGATGAATCTCTGTGCTGCTGTTTGGACTGTTGTCTCCTATGTAATTGCTGACATGGAGGAGATGTTGCCAAGGTAATAAAACAGCAAGAAAGAAGATTTCTGTTCTTCAGTAAAGGTTGTTAGTCCACTAATACATGTGGGCTACAGCTGTGGTAAATTCTGTTAATCTTGGTTATTATTATTATTATTATTTTATCTGTTTTCCTCAAAACACACTCTCTTCTACACATTCCTGTTTATTTTTGCTGTTTTGATTTCTTCCATTTGTGATTTTCACTTAAAATGTCTTCTTTTAAGTACTCCTTACATTTCAGATGAAGATATGATACCTCTGACTATGTATATATATATATATATATATATATGATATAATAACTATTTGTATGCACAGTGATTCTGTGCAGCAGGAAAAATATACCAAATAAATTTTTTGCATCAAAATAATTAGTGTATTGATTTAGTGTACATGTTTATGTTTTATTTCTGTCTTTCATTCTACTCATTGGAATGATGTAAGATTAATAAACAGCCCTTTTTTCACTGTTTTAAGGTAATACTGTAGCTTCTAGAAGTTTTCAGGTTATGGGACAAATTAATCTGGTTTTAGTGATAGTGTATGGTAGAAGGGTCAAATAATAGTCAAAATGCTAAAATAGCGTAACAGTTTCAGTCAGGTCCACTTTTAAATCTTATGAAACATTCACCTAAGACCCAGAYAAACCAGGACACAGAGGACAGAAAGCCAAGCAGAGGAGTGCCAGCTCTCCCGTGTTCTTTTGGGCACCTCCCTATGGAAAGCCCTGCATGTCCTTTTCTTTCTCATGGAAGACTCACCATAGTGACAGGCAGAGAATTTGGTATGGCAGGTTTTCTGTGAAATGCCATGTTTTAGGAACAACACAGAGCTGTGATTTGTGACCTTCAGTACTTGCCAGCTGATATCCAAACAATGTGTAAGAGCAGATTTTGATTCAGAATCCTGAAGCCATTCCCAGCTGCCCCTCCCTTGCAGGGATGGTCTCTCCTGCTGAAGCTGGACAAGAGAATGCTGGTTCATATTAACTTTGATGGAGGGATTAACCTGGGAATTCRATTCTTATATACTTTGCTGATTTGGGGGTTTGGGTTTTTTCTTCCTTACTGAGATTATGAACATTCAGATGAGTTTCAGGCATATCCATGGAGAAGATATAACTGATCTTGGGGAATAAGTCATAAGATTTCTGCTTATTTCCTTGTGACATGATCCTTGTTTGTGATTTTAAATTTTACAACAAGCAAATTTAGTAATGCGAATAACTGCTGCAATATAATCAACACCAAACAACTAATGTTACAAACATGGAGTATTAAACCAAATAGCAGGCAGTCCCTAGTGCTGTTAATCAGTTCTGCTGTTGAGCAATAGCTGAATAATGAGCAATTCATTTTTACAGAATCTATAATCATGGTATCTGTTTACTGTGATAATAGCTGTTTTCCATCAAAGTTATTAACTATTTCAATATTCCCTCCAAATCATTTCAAGAGCATAAAACCTGCCTGGAGATACTCTGCTCTATCTTTTTAAAGAAACAATATTGAAATAAAGTTAGCAAATACTTCTTCTGCTTTCAAACCGCGATGCCTCTGTTTCTTTTTTGCTTGACAAGAGCATAGCTGGTGGTGCTCACCACTGGCAGATCCTCAGTTGGATTTGTCTCCAAATCCAACCTTTTGTCCTTTACACAATGTTACTGGCTGTTTCCTGCATTGTGTTCCATATTGTTTTCACTCAGGGTATGAGGTTTTGTACTCCAGAGATTCAGAAGGATGTTCTGTGAAGTTACCTATATTGTTGCAAATCTTAACCTATGGTCTCTTCAAAATGGTGTTTATTTGTGTTTTTCTCCATTGCATCAAGTCAAATGGAAAATCTCTGGAGTCAAGAATACTCCTCTGCAGAGGAGAATAACTCTACAAGTGTGCACATGGCACCACAGCACATGCCAAGATGTGCTTGTCAACATCYAAGTAGAAAATTACCTATCCTCCARCCAAAASCAGCACAACTATATAAGATAGACTGCAAAATTAAGATMATGAGGCCTTAATTCATGCCCCTGAAGAAAATTGAACCTTCATATTAACTTCAGATACACAGTTCGAGAGAGAAGCATTGCAGAATGGTTTTGRAAAAAAAATGTTCAAAAATCAAAACTGCTATCTTATTTTTATAGACATAGTGACAATAAAAATATTTGATTTCTTAATTGAAAAATAAAGAGTTTTTTTAGCTTGTAAAACCAGTATTCATTGAAATAAGACATTGTCTCTGATTCACCCATTTTTCTTTTCTGATCTGCATTCACAGACCTAAAAGTTCATCTGGCCATAGTGCTCACTGATAATCTACCTGTTCAGATGTACCTCAAAAATTTCCATCAACAAGGAGATGCTAATACATTTATTTTCTTTCCCAGTGGGATTTTGTACCATCTGTGCWACAGCTTATCTTTACCACTGCTCAGTGTAGCAATTATGCTCTTCCAATTAGTGGCCATTAAAAAGGTATCAGTTGGTCAATTTTCAATTCAAGAGCACTTCTAAGGTGATCCAGGTAAGCCAACATAACTTTGCCTTCCACTGACATGCCATTATCTTTGACAATCTCTCTCAACTTTTAATTCAGAAAGTAGTAGCTGAGGACATTATTTATATTACTTTTATTGTGAGGGTCACCTGCCATAAATCTGTGCTTTTCATAAGTAATTTGATGATGTTCTAAGTCCAAGGGACCATGGGTACATTTCTCTCCAATAAAAATTTTGAGTTTTCCCTGCAAAGATCTGTGAGCTGAGAGCTGAAAAAAACAGCACTAGTATTTAAATATATGTCAAAAATTTAAATTTCAAACAGTCATTTTCCTCAAGGTATTACAAATCTCTTGCATCTGCTGAGAAGGGAGGCCCCTGGGTAGTCTTCCTTTCAGCTACAACTCGAAGGTTTCAGACATAGTTACAGAAAGACGAGGCCAATACATAATTCATTTACCTGACTAGACTATGGCACAAATGCAGATGAAAAGTCTATTTTCAATACTGAATAATGKAATGTAAGTAATTTTGCTAGTAATAGAAGAAGAATTGCAGGGTAAGTTTGTTTTTGTCCTTCATTGTGCCAAGACAATACTGACATTTCACTGTCTCTTTGAATGATTCAGTTCTATGTGTTCTCACAAGATTTTTAGCTCCCTTAAAATAATTAAGAACAAAGAGACAGTTGAAGCAATGCTGATTCTGCTGCTCCATTACAAACATCCTTGGCTGAGTATTTAGTTAGTATGCTTCCCCCATAGCGATTTGAGACACTTCCATTTACCATAAGTAAATATCAAACTGATCTTGATATCTATATCTGTCTCATGAAATATACATACCATCTAAATGTGCCCAAATGATTAATTTACTGCTGTGTAATGATTAGCATAAAAATCTCATCACTGCACAGGATAGAAATGTTGTCACTAATTGCTGGTTGGAGTGAACAATGTTTTCTGCATAGAAGGTAATGATGCATTGCAGCTCTTGAATGGGAAAACTCAAGACTTTCTGCAAGAAAAGCTTTTTTCCCTTCTTTCCTGCTAAATGATAGGAGACATCCTGATCCTATATAACAAAAAGGAATATACATAATACAACAGATACATATAATAGAATAGAAAGGAACTTACACCTTTTGTAATTTGTCTGCTGAAAATGTGTGGAAGCATTGTCCACATGCACATTACTTCTGGAAACTCCAGCCTTTTTGCACAAAGGTAAGGCCAGCTATGGGCCTGTGATTTGTAATTACAAGTGTTTAATACATACATTGTGCTAGCACCTGATTCAGGTTTTAGGTGCTTCTTTTCTKAACGATCACGTTTCGCTTGGAGGAGGGACCTCGACGGCAGCCGTGTATCCACATCTGTGTCCAGCTTGCAGTTTGATTTCACTTCAGGACAGATCAACCTCCTTCAGCTGATGTTAAGTCTATGTCTTCCAGAGGTCTCTTWATCTTTCACTTTCCTTCTCAGCACTTGTACTCAGGCATGGATATTAGGAATGACTAACTAACTGACTGAAAAAAGTCTGTATTTTGTGTATGGGACTCCAGAGCTGTGAGATACAATGGAAATTACTCTGAAGAACACATGGTAGAGAGCTCCATCAGGGCCAACACTTGCCATTTATCACTGACCTCTCTTACTGGAAGAGAGAGCTTTTTGATCAATGCAATGAATTTTCGTCACCAGTCATGGTTTTTTACATAACTGTGTGAAAATCAGGCTTATGACTAAAGAGCRAAGCTCTGAAGGAGGGGCCACTAAAAATCCACAAAAAGAACAAGTCTTTACTGAATCAGGGACTGTGGATTCAAGTACAAATACTTTACTCTGCTATGCTTGGGGAACATTATCTAAACCTCCCTCAATTCCGCTTTTAAGTGTTGGTAGTGGTGWTTGGTGCAGCCTAATTTAACAACAGTGCGTTAAAATACATGATGCAAGTAAAATGTAAGTTCATAGCAGAGGTGAGGTTCAGTTAGAGGAGAGGAATGAGAAGTAAACACCTTCCAGCTACATGAGAAGTMACCTGCAGAATGTGTCTGTTAGTAATTACTGTTTGCATTTGCAATACTTGCATTATTCACTTTTTTCATTTACATTTGACATGAAAAAAAAATTCCTCTTTCTGATACCACCATTTCAAAACAGACTTTGGACTATCAGGCRTATCAGTTTTAAACTAATGGTACTTTTCATCTGGGAATGACATGGACAATTATCTGTGCAAGATGGTCACACATCATGCCAGCTATATTTATAATTTCGCTGCTTTTAACATACCAAGTATTTCACAGAATCAATGGCCACACACTGGGGCAGTTTGGGAAAAGAGAATAGGTTAAATTGTTTCCCAGCAGTCATGCAGCCAGTCAATCCWAAAGTTAAGTATAGTTTAGTTCCTGCTTCAGCCAAACTGTGCTGCTCATAAATGAGTTGTTCCTTTCTTTTTATACCACTGAGATAATTTTGAAGCTGAAGTGTAAAATTTGTGAAAAAAATGGCACTTTCAACTGATCATATGCAGTGTATGTGGACTGAACCTTGGGGAAAATCTTCAAAACTGATTTCACTGAGGTTCTTTGTGCCTCAGGTTAT